TAGGATGTTTTGAATGGGAAAATATTCTGAAGGGGACTTAAAAAATGGCTTCTTTCTCTTTATCTCACCATGTGCAAAGAACACCAAGGCCAGCTTCATATAGCCTTGCCCTTCAGCTTTTTTGGCACCCACCTTGCTGGTGTCCCATGTGCTGGGTTCTGTCTTCCCATAGAACCACTCCTTTCCCATGCCTAACAAAAATAATAGTAATAGCAACCCATAATAACCCATCTTTCTCCCTTTACATGTACTTTTCTTAAGGAGGGAGAATGGCCCTTTTGGAGGGAAGCAGAAAAGCTGTCCTTCAGAGCAGCTAGGGAATTGCAAGGGGGGAGGGAGGAACAAAACAGATGTTTTCATCAATAGGAACTGCACTCAAGCCCAGTGGAAATGGTTGAAGGGGCACAAGTCAGCCAGTTGTGCCAGTTGCATCAATCCCTGCCTGCCTTCCTCAGTTGGGTCAGTCCTTGCTGCTCCATCAACAGCTTTTCTGGCTGGGACATTGAAGATTTTGGAGTACTGGGGGTGGGAGGAGGAAGTTAGATTTCCTTCTTGAAGTCCATATCTACTAATTGCTCTTACCATTTGTTTTGCTTTAAAGACTTGAATAAGACATGGGTGGAGTATAACTCTGAAAAGCTTCCCCATTGTTCTTCTTGGATTGAGCAAATCATAAAAGCAGGAATATTGGACCACCATAAGTATGATAGGTAATAGGAAGAGGACACTGTTACAACATCACCCTGTCTGTGTAAAAGAAAATGGATAGTCTCATGGACCGAAGGCTGGAAATTGGGAATACTTAAAATTATCAATGCTTTTTAATCTGGTTAATGCAAGGATCTGCAACCTTCAGCCTTTGAACTGCATGTTACCTCAGACTCTCGTGCTGCCTTGTAGTTAAAATTGAGCTGCAGCTTTGAGTTTTGGAAATGTGCCAAGTGCTGCTAAACAGGTGCTCTCAACAGTCAAAATAATTCTGTTGCTGCTTTTAATGGCAGCAGAACTACAGCACTCTGCTCCTGATTGTTGGGGGAGGGACTAGGGAATGAAAGCGTCATTGCTTCCTCTTTCCTCCCAGGGAAAAGGGCTCAAAATGGAGCAAGAAATCAGTGATTTTTCAGCCATTGGAAGAGAGGCTCTCCAGAACAGGAAAAAGCATAGGNGGATGGAAGGCTGATTCAACCCTGAGCTGGTGAGATTTGAACTGCTGAACTGCAGATAACAGTCAGCTGAAGTGGCCTGCAGTGCTGCACCTTAACCACTGCGCCACCTTGGCGCAGTGGCTAGGGTGCCTTGAGATCGGGACTTTACTGTACTTGCTGTGGACATTCTGCCCCCAAAACCACAATGGCTAAAGTTATGTGATATTTTATTGGAAGGAGCGAATCTGAAGGCACGCTAGCCTCATAGGCTGGCAGCCTCCAAAATCTATTACACAAAATGGAAGTTACAATCCAAAACAGAGTTAAGCTTAAGATGCTGGATTTAATGGGTTTATACACACCTAATGTGATATTGGATTTTAGCTTTATTATATCCAATATGTGCATTAGCTTTGGCAGAGCCACAGTGGAGAGAGAGGGCAACCAAAAGAATTGGTTTCAAATTCCTTGAGATCATTGGTGGACACAGAAAGCTCTTAGCTAGAAGGGAGGAGGGCCTATCAATGAGAAGAAAATATTATGTGGGGGAAAATCAATTAATAAAATAAATGAATTGCCTTTCAGTGGATAAAATCAGCATGGAAACTTAACAAAGGCAGAAGATACATACTGTATGGGCGAGGATTAAATGCAGGAGAGCAGCTGATGGTTTTATAATAGATTCTGGAAACAGAATACTGCAGCTTTACTTTCGCTACAAAGGTAGGAACAGGAGAATCTTGACATTATTTAGCGCCACAGGGCTTAACAAAGGCAGTGTTTGACAAATCCCTTTCCCAAAGCACAAACAATCAAAAAAACAAGCAGACAGGAATAGGAAAGGGAAAATGGAGGCAGGAATAACTTGTGGCATGCAGCATATTCTGTCAAATACTGACGTCTTGTATTTGTTTCCAGACGGAAAGATCTAAAGGGATAAATTTAGAGAAGGGATTCTAGAGATGCATTTGGGGTGGGTGTGTGGGTGTGCCAATTCCAAATTTAAGGGAAAGCAAAGGAGAGGCTATTCATTCTAGTCCCACCTTAGGTCCAAAGCCAGCTGGTTGACCCCGGACCAGCTTCCCTCTCCCAACCCTAGGAAGAATGAAGCAAGGTCCAACAATTTCAGAAATTGTACCAAGAAATCTGCAAGGATTTTTCCAGGCAGGTGCCAGGAGTAAAAAAAATGGACCTGAAGGCACATACATCACAAAAGGAGAATAATATATGGCAAATATAATTGATGTTTACTGGAACTGGAATTCTTTTGACAATCATCTATGCTGGCGCAATGGTTAGAATGCAGTATTGCAGGCTAATTCAGCTCAATGCCAGGAGTTTGATCTTGACTGACTCTAGGTTGACTCAGCCTTCCATCCTTCCGAGGTCGGTAAAACGAGGACCCAGATTATAGGGGGCAATATGCTGATTCTGTAAACTGCTTAGAGAGGGCTGTAAAGAACTGTGAAGCGGTATATAAGTCTAAGTGCTATTGCAATCTTTGGAGAAGCTTACCAAACTAGAGCCTGCAGGAGATTCTATGGTAGAACATAATCATACTTAGTGCTTTCGTTGATACCATGTTAGAAGCACTTCATCCCCCACCTACTTTAATGAAATAGGACAGTGTGTTCTACACCAATCCCAGAGAGAATGACACCCACTCTAGCATTGGTCCCAGAACACCTCAATTTTCTCTTCCACTCCAGTGGAATGGCACTAGTGGCTGCCCAACAGCATGAATTACCCCATCAGCAAAGCAGTAGGCAAGCTAAATCAGAGGACTTTTCAAGTAGTTTCAACCAGCAATACTTTTGCACTCTGATCTGTCGTGAATTATTCCCAAAGCACCTCATGCAGTTTTCTTC